TGCTTTACGGTGAAGCATTTCCATTCGAAGAAATATGTGATTTTCTGACAGCCTAGTTCCCTCACCATCGAAACTCGACGCATTTGATGACCTTTCTTGGCCAAAATACGAATTTGTATGATCTCAAAATGTAAGCATTCATCATATCGCAATGATCTCCTTCGTAGATCAATTACTTAGCGTGGATAGTCTCCTGGAATGAGGATATTCACGAATTGTAAGCAACAAAATATGCATGATATGTATCAGTCTGATAGGCCAGAATTTTCAGCACGAACATTACGCGAAGAGAAAAAATTCTGGTGGTCCTGCAGCTAGCGATATGCAAATCAGCGATCAACAGTTGAGATCGTCACCAAGGTCGAACCGAAGTGCAGCCACCAAGAACGAAGCTTCGAGGACGTATTGTATGAGTTTTGCTCCTTTTGCATCAGTTCCTTGATACAGCTCATCTTGTGACTCACATCTCATACGATCAATGCAATCAGGTCGATGTGTCAGATTGCTTAATAGATCATCGATTTTCGTCAACTACATGCTTCTGAACGATCTGCTGAACGAAACCAATCTCCGATTTTATCATTTCGATGAGTTGCATCATCTGAACTAATTTATCAGTTCGGATGAGTTAATAGAATGTTCCACAAAATGGAATTTTGCTTAGGAGATCGAGATTTTCAGCTGGTGATTCGTCGGGTGGAACGGATGTGAGAAGACTGAATGGAGATGTCCGTGGCAATCCGCCAGATGTACCCTATCAGCGTATAGCAGATTCTGCGACGTCGTCGTCAGTTTTGAGCGGTCACGAGAACCAAGGCAATAGGTCACCACATCACAGGCATCACCACCATCACCACCATCATCCTCGGCTGGACTCGGCCAATTACAGTGGTTCGCACGATTGATTGATTACGTTTATCAGAAGAAAATTATTTCCAAGCCAAATCAACACTCATGTTAAGGACTGATGCAGATGCTGTCACGACATTTGCTTACCCACATTTTTAGTATAAACGGAACC